AAAAGTATTTCTATTATATTATAAAATTTTTAAGATGAAAATATATTCAAAATTTCAAAATGAGGTAATTTTGCAAAATTATGTACTGTGGCAATAATACAGCCTTCAAACACTGAGTAAAAGATGGCAGAAAGTAAAATCTAGGTTTACTGACTTTACTGCAACACAGTAAAAAGCATGTTAAAGACAGCATAAGCTCTCCTTTATTAAGTATCTATCTTTACACATAACAGGAAAACTTTGCTATGAAAGATGCAGCAAACTGCTTGGGAAAAGGCTCTAATTCAGATAATTCAACTGCAAGAAAGAGGAGAGGAAAGGAGAGGAGAGAAGAGGAGAGGAGAAGACAAGATACAAGGAAAGACAAGTTTTTCAGTTGGAAAGGACCTACAGGAATCATCTAGTCCAACTGCCTGAATAGTTCAGGGCTGACCAGAAGTTAAAGCATATAGTTATGGGTATTATCCAAATGCCTCTTAAATGTTGACAAACTTGGGGCATTGACCAGATCTCTAGAAGTCCTGTTCCAGGGGATTTTACCACCCTCTCAGTAAAGAAATTCTTCCTGAATTCTAGTCTAAACCTCCCTGATGCAGCTTCAAACCATTCCTACACGTCCTGTCACTGGATATGAGAGAGAAGTGATCAGCAACTTTCTTTCTGCTTTCACTCCTCAGGAAGCTGCAGGAAGCACTGAGGTCTCCTTTTCTCCAAACTAGACAACCCCAAAGTCTTCAACCATTTCTTCCAGCCCTTTCACCAGTTTATTGCCCTGCTCTGGACACACTCAAGGACTTTCACATTGTGACTTAAATTGTGGGGCCCAGAGCTGCTCACAGGACTCAAGGTGAGGCCACACCAATGATGAACAGAGCAGGATAATCATCTCTTTTGACAGCATGGTTATACTGTATTTGACGCACCCCAGGATGTAGTTTGCTCTCTTGGCAACAAAACAGAAAAGGACTGAAACGAGCCTAGAGATGTGACATCCCTTGTCCCGGATCAAAAGAAGAGGCAGAAACAGTCTCTAGGAGGTGAGCACTTGCAAATTATCACAGCCAACTGAGCTGTAGTTATTTGCTGCCTCTAACCACCTGCCATGTATATCCCTGGTTCCTAGACTACAGTTTTGTTCACTGTATTATTCTAAATAACCAGCCAGCAGTTATCTTTCATGGTTTACACAGATAAGTAATTGGTTCAGTATCTTGTACAATAACATTCCAAAAAGCAGACTCATAATCTGAAAATACAAGCATATACAAGCATCAGCCATCTGATTTCAGATAACAGCACAAAAATACAAGTTTCAAAGCTCAAAGTTTTACTTTCTGTTTATCAGCTACATTGTAAAAAATACCAAAATTTCGTCTTTGTATTTTTTTTACCCTTTGTGCCTTGTTGCTTAGAGATATCTGCTGACTTACATCTGGATGAATCTTTGTTTACTTAGATTTACAATCAATATTTGACAGTATTGCAAATCAAGGAACTGCATTTATTATTATCTCAGGATATTAATTTTTATAGTCTTGAGAGATGACAAAAGATCAGGATAATCTGTGCTGCTATCACATTATCTAGCTCACAAGCCATAAACAGCTCACAACTGGAAGTGAAAACCCTCTGGAGCAGGAACCATCCACAAGGTGCAGAACAAAGGTTCCAACTTGTTCTCATTACAGCCATGAAATCTTTATGGAAAAGAGAGAGAATGTATTTCTTAATGGAAACTATTTCATAATGGAATTTTTTGCAGAGTAAGATTTCGTAACACAGGTGGTGAGATGCTTGCACAAATCTTGAGCAAGGCAATTGTTTTTGTTAGTCACAAAGGCTGGGAGTCACGATGGAAAACTTAGAGAGTATTATTCCTTGACAACTGAACATAAATAAAGCAATATCACTTTATTATTTTATTATGTAACTATTAACAAGAATATCAGATAACCCATGGTAATATAAACAAAAACTTTGCTGTCGTTTTTACTCTATCTGTGAAAATCTGTCTGTTCCCTAAAGAAAACACAGGATCTGACACCAGCAATAAAAGGTTCATTTCCCAATATTTTCTACTCAAGTTGCCTGACCTCAGACTGTCCTGAGGAATAGTATCAAGATTAGTTAAATTTTCCAACCCTATTTTTTTTGCCTGATTAAACTTTCTTTCCCCCATATGGTAGTTTGTATCTGACAGTCATCCTTGACATTGATTGCCAGGTTGATTCGTATTAACAGGATCAGAGGGAGAGTTTTCCTAAGCAGTTCCCGGTGGGATATATCACTGACTTTTGTAACAACATCTGCTGCCACTTTAGGGGCTGCTTTCAAGAGGCCTACAGCAAAGATGGTAAATAATAATGACTGCACACTACAGTGTCAGTGTTCCTTGACTGCAGGTCTTTGTCATCACAAAACTATCCTTAATGAATTCAGTGAAAACACTTTCAAGTAACTTTGTCCATTGTTGAAGATAAAGAGAGAGAAAGAGAAGAACAAACTCTGTGAAACTTTGGGTCAGAAGAATAAACTTCTCAATCTCACTTATATGCAACAACAAAGAAATTGATTTCATTTGTAATGTAATTAGAAATTGCATGCACTGCCCATCACATCACTGTGCGTCTAAATGCTAAGCATAATTAATTGTTTTTATAGTTATTTCTTGGAAAAAAATTAAAAATCCAGACAGTCATTACATAAACTTGAGAATGGAGAGACAAGTGTATCACCCATTCCTGGCTCCTTAATATTCCTGAGAGGTAGTTAGGATGTTACACAAACTCAAAAAGGTATTGTAAGTCCTTCGACCCCGAGAGATCAGACAGACTATAATTCACACAGCAATGCTTCATAGTTCTTTTTGGTACCATCCATAATCTTTCAGCACCCCAAGGGTACCATGCACTTCAGCCAATGCCATCCACATAGTCTTCAGTCCACAAGACAATTTTTGGGCTTTTAGAAATTGTATATCAGTCCAGAGTGAGAGTACTTAAGCAGCTTTTTCTTGTATATTCTCCACATTAACTAAGCAGCAATCATTTGTCCCAGAAATTAGGTAAGAAAGATGAAAATTGAAATCTTGTTTTACTAATCCATACAGACTCCAGGCCTGTCTCCCAGCTGTCATTAGGCATGTGAACAATGATTCAACTTCTTAATCACCTGGGAAACAAGTATCTAAGCTAGATAATAAGAGCAGCGCAAACCTACCACAACTTCATTTACATTCTTGAACTGGCTCTCCTTCAGATGAAAGCCAAAGAGCTCTCTTAGGCATTAACTAACTGCATAGCAGGATCCCCAAATCCATTCCTGGTTTAGTCTTAAGGGATTGATTATAGATAGATCTTTACAGGGAAAATTATATATTGGGAAAGAAGTACGGAAAGGAAAGGTTTGATATTGGTTATACAAGCAGAACAAGACAGGAAGGATTTTTGAAGTGGTGTAATACGAAGAAGCCAACAGAACTTCGGTGGATTTCAAGACTCAGCTCTTACCAAAGGGTTATAGGAAGTTTTCATGTATTCTCTTTGGAAGGGCTGCCTGCTTTAGGGAACCTAACCTAAACATCATCTAAAAATCCTCTCATCTTTAACATGATTTAACATAAGTTTTTCTCTTTTCATCCTCTGCACTTCCCAAGTATTAATTAGCTTATGTACAGCAAGGACCATGCTGTCAATTGCAGCCATCTAACACTGGCTAGAATAATGCATCTGATCAAGATGTTCAGCAAGGTTTATGCAGCTTCTCTTTCAAAGGTTCTGTCCCCTTTCCATCTGTCCTGGGTTCAGCAGTAGCAGTCATTTTTCTCCTCCTTGGTAGCTGGTGCAGTGCTGTGTTTTGACTTTCGGCCTGGGAACAGAACTGATAGCGATGTTTTGGTTTGGCCAAGGACTTTGTGAACCTCATGCTCTGCCAGGGAGGAGGGGAAGCCAGGAGGAAGCAGAGACAGGACACCTGACCCAAACTGACCAAAGAGGTATTCCATACCACAGCACGTCATGCCCAGGAGGTAACTCGGAGTTAGCCGGAAGGGCTGGGAGACTGCAGGGTTGGAGGAGGTATCGGTCGGAGCTTGGTCGGGCTTGGGGGGCGAGTTATCGGTCAGCTGGTGCTGAGGTGTTGTATTCTCTTCCCTTGTTATTTCCTTTGTCATTATTATCATTGGTGGTAGCAGTAGTGATTTGTGTTATACCTTAGTTACTAAACTGTTCTTATCTCAACCCGTGGGAGTTGCATTCTTTTGATTCTCCTCTCCGTCCCTCCGAGAGCAGGGGGAGGGCAAGAAAGGGGGGGAAGTGAGCGAACGAATTGCCTGACTGGGTTTAAACCACGACAGTTCTTTTTGGCGACCAACGTGGGGCACAAAGGGTTGAGATAACGACAGATTTGACTGGATTAATAGTCACTCATCACAATGCTGATTTATTGGCTCTCAGAGGTGTTCTTGTTGATCTCACAGCTTCAGACCGTTGTAACTTACGTAGAGCCGGTATTTGGTGTGTTAGTGTTTATCAAGTGTGGGGCCTGGGCTAAGGTTCTTGTCTCACTGTGCTTTATGGCAATGACTTGTAATACGGGCGGGCTCCAGCAGCAGGGCGGGACGGACGTGGCCGTGGACTTGTACCTGGCCGTCCGGCTGCTCTTCACCGTCCTGGCCCTCGCCCTACTCTCCATCTTCGTGAGGCTGCGGGGAGCCGAGGGGGAGCGGCCCCGGGAGCCGGCGGCAGCCGAAGCGGCTCAGGAGAGCGGTCCCGGGGACCAGGCGGCGGCAGAAGCGGGGCCGGAGGCCGCCTGGGGACGGCTGCCGGTGGAGGAGGTCGGGGCGGTCGAGGAGCGGAAGGAGGCGGCTGCCGAGCAGCGGGAGAAGGCGGCGGAGGAGCCGAGCCCCGCGGAGGAGCCGAGCCCCACGGCCGAGCCGAGCCCCACGGCCGAGCCGAGCCCCGCGACGGCCGAGAGCATCCCCCGGAAGCCGCCTGCCGAGCCCCAGGAGGATGCAGGAGACCACGCAGCACTTCCCAGCAAGGCAGAGGAGGAAGAGCTGGACTCAGGAAAAGAGAAGCTGGCGGTGGGAGAGCCGGCAAGCACAGCAGCTACACCAGCCCCAGTGACAAGTACAGCAGCATCAACTGAGAGTTCTGAAGGTTTTGAATGGCCTTTGGGTATCCTTGGGACCTGCCTGCTGATTGTGATGGGGATCAGCATGTTGGCACACATACAGAGTGTGTTCTACCCACAACCATTTTGTCTGATCTCAAAAGTTAAGCAGAGTCGGGTTTGGGTCTTGTCTGGGGTTAGACGACGATATAGGGTGACCAAGAGATTTTCCCCAAAGCTGGACAGTCATGAGTGGCAGGGTGTGTGGGACAGTATGGGCAAGTATCTAGTCCACTGGGCCCCTCCAGTGCTTTGGAAGCGTCGGAGATGGAAGGCAGCTGTATGGAGTCCCCAGCAACAAGCTGCAGAAACTGCTGAAGGGGACAGTGAATTATTTTAAGCCTGGTGGGCCCGTGGCACTTCAGGCCATCAGAGCAGAGATGCAACATAGTGATGGACTCATGATCAAGGGGTAGACTTAGCAATGGACACTATTGCCCAGGTTATTCACAAGTGTGAACACTGCACACAGTCTCTCCTGCTCTGGAAGACTGTTACAAGAGATGGAGCCTGACATGGACCAGATGGACACAGCAGCTTTATAGGGACTGGTCCCTGCACTAAGATAAGAGTGCACCAAGATAAGAGTAATGGTATATTGAAAATGTGGGATCTGAGCATGACGTGAATGGTATGGAATAAGGGGTGGATAATGTCCTGGGTTCAGCAGTAGCAGTCATTTTTCTCCTTCTTGGTAGCTGGTGCAGTGCAGTGTTTTGACTTTCGGCCTGGGAACAGAATTGATAGCGATGTTTTGGTTTGGCCAAGGACTTTGTGAGCCTCATGCTCTGCCAGGGAGGAGGGGAAGCCAGGAGGAAGCAGAGACAGGACACCTGACCCAACCTGACCAAAGAGGTATTCCATACCACAGCACGTCATGCCCAGGATGTAACTGGGAGTTAGCCGGAAGGGCTGGGAGACTGCAGGGTTGGAGGAGGTATCGGTCGGAGCTTGGTCGGGCTTGGGGGGCGAGTTATCGGTCAGCTGGTGCTGAGGTGTTGTGTTCTCTTCCCTTGTTATTTCCTTTGTCATTATTATTATTGGTGGTAGCAGTAGTGATCTGTGTTATACCTTAGTTACTAAACTGCTCTTATCTCAACCCGTGGGAGTTGCATTCTTTTGATTCTCCTCTCTGTCCCTCCGAGAGCAGGGGGAGGGCAAGAAAGGGGGGGAAGTGAGCGAATGAATTGCTTGACTGGGTTTAAACCACGACACCATCACAGGAGGAAGAATCATTTTTCAAAAATAATGTGACCCCCCAGCAGTTGTACTGGGGACATGCCTACCAGCTTCACCTCACATTTTTGGATATGAGCACAACACAGAACTGCGCTCAAATATCCAAGCGTCAATAAATCTATGTGATTCAGAAGGTTTCTGCTTCTCGTACTTCACCCTTCTTCTCTCCATTCTGCTCTTCACTATATTACCTAGAGCTCATATGGGATGCTGGGGTTTCTGCACTGGATGTCACATTTTTATCCATGTGACTACAGAGTTACTCCTCACAGAGACAGGAGACTCTGTCTGCCCAACATCCAATTTATTTTGTAGGGCAGAAAGAAAGTATTGTTTCCAAGACAACTGTCCTTAACCACAGCCTTCAGCTATAGATGCTGATCTGCCTAAGTGCCAGGTTTTTTAGACCTGTTGCCCCATTTTCTAATCTTGCAACATTACTGTTTGGTTTTGCCTAGCAAACTCAAGCCCAACAACCGTCCATATGTTAATTTGCCAAAATTTGAGGAGTCACAAGGGAAATTGCTCTTCAAATCCTTTTATCCTGTATACTGGTGTGAATTCCAACCATTCTAAGCTTTTGCTGATTGTTTAACAAACTTACGTCATCAGTTCATGGTATCTGTCTTAACCCTAACCTCTTCCTAAGGCTAAATGCATTGTTTACACTGCTGGCAGCAGCTCTTGTAGTAGGCCTGCAGGCCATACTGCGTTCAGCATCAGTATTACATTTTCACCTTTTTTCTGGCCACCATCATTGTCCTATCCCCAACAGTGCAGAGCCCCTGAACTGCTCTAGCCCTGGCCAAAGGCCACAAGCTATTCATCATTCACCATTTCCAATATTATGTCTTTCAAGCTTTAACAATGAGCTGAACTCCTCGGCTTATGATGTCCAATCTCTAACCAATACTAGTTACACTGAAGTCCTTTATCTCTATATGTAAATATGTATGTATGCCCAGGTTACCATCTGTGATCATCAGGTCCTCTGGATTCAGAACAGGTGAAAGGGGAATAAGTGACTACCTGAGAATAAATTTGTGTTAGCAGTGATCTCTTGCATAATACCCTAGTGAATGCAGGATTTATCTAGGCATATAATACTATGACCAATGTCATTTTTAAACAAAACAGACTCAGTCCCCACACCAGGATCAGTCTACAGTCTTTGGGCTGTTGAGACAATGGACATTCTTCACATGATGTTGGGCCATCAGGAACTCTGGGCTGCAAGATAAATAGATGGATAACTCTGTATATGTGTACACCCATGACAAACACAGTGGTTGAAGAAGTTCATTTTGGGCAGTTTGGAAAGCTGCCTGGGGCTTAGATGTCTAAGTTCTGCCTAAGCTTCACTGCAGGTGGAAATTTTGGTAAACAAGGTCTTACCCACTGTGCCTAAAGCCATGTCTCTTGTACTCACGAGAGAAACAGATTTACTTCCCTTTTGTCAGTGCTACAATGTCTTCTCCCAATAGTTTGGATTAACTTTCACTGTAGCTGACATACACATTTCCCCGTTTCTTTCCTTAGGAATGCAGAATCTTTGTTGCCATATGCCAAGTGTCTATGTACATCATGCCCATCCTGATGAGTGTATGTATTTGAACTGGCAGTGTGGAGAATTGACATCGGACACAAGTGATCTATGTGTCATGGCTTTGGCATGTCACCTGTCAGATGATGTTCCTTAATGAAGCCCATTCATTCCTGCCAGATGGGCCACTGATGCAAACATCAGCCTCTTCCACACATGTAGCTTTGTGTTCAAGACCAGTGATCATCTGGAAGAAACTGGACTGAAGAAAATGAATGAAGAATGAAGAAAACAGCAAAGCCCAGTTCTTCCTGAAGAGTGTGGCTGTCAGCAGTGACCCTGTAGTCTGGACTGAAACCAGTGTTATTACCTTTTTAAAATATAAACAAAGAAAGTAAATAAAACGTGTCATTCAATCCATTTAAGAAAATTCTGAAACTCATGAAATCAAAATAGTGCCGTGGAAATAAGGGATTTTGGTCTACATGGCAGCATGCAGCTTCTGTTAAATGACAAAGATATTTGCAGGGTGAAGTGGTTTATTTTTATCCTAACTTTCTTTCCATTAGTGCATTCCCTGCTGGGTTGGAGGATTATATCTATTTTGGCTTGGAGGATTATATCAATTTGTTTTGCTACAAATTCAATAAAAATAAAAGCTAAAATGACAATTAAATCCAACAAAGCCCAGCTGGAAAGCATGCAAAATTCCTCTTTTCTAATTAAAGTCTGTGCAAACCAGAGCTTTATAGAGGCATTGGGGAGGGAAGGAATAAAAGAAGCATGTTCCCACTAACACATTTACTGTAGCTACCTTTCAGGCCAAACAAATTACTGCAGAATGTTGACCCAGCACTTCAACAAGCAGCAAAGCCTGCAGGGTCTCCTTTATTTTGGGAAAGGGAGGGGAAAGTCGAGGCTGAGCACAAAGGGGGCATATGTATGCCATATTGTGCTGTTGGGTGCTGTTTAGGGCGTGTTGCCATGTGCCCTAAAGACCAGTAAAGTTAGTAGGACCTGACTTCAATGGGCTTTGGATGATGTCTCTAATGTGATTAGGAAGATGCGCTATATGCCAATTAATGTCTCTCTTCAGCCTGGGCAGCAACACCTGGCTGCTAAAACTGCTGCTTTGAATGTGGGTGAAACCCAGTGGTTTTCTTTGAACACACCATGGCAGGCTGTTGCCTTCATTTTCTCCTGCTGCTTCCCCTGCAGCCACTGAGGAAAGCTGCTAGAACTCTTAAAAAGTCAAAGAAAACCTCCAACAATCACAACAAAAAGAAATCTCACAACATAAAAAAAGTAAAATACAGATACGAGAAAAGAGAAGAGGAAAGAAAATGTGATGCATGGAAAAGACAACTACTTAGACAAAATTTTCCACTACCACAGTGTGAAAGTAGAAAGATCAATGGAGGATACAGTACCTGTATTCCTGTGGAACTTGCTGCAATATTGAATCTATGAACTAAACAAGCCATAGGCTGTCCTTCCGTATCAGTATCTTATGGTATGTATTGGTACACCAGTGAGCAATGCTGGATTGCTTTCCCTCATCTTAAACCCTACTTTACCTCTTGTTTTGGCATCGTAGCACAGTGTCAACACTTGTCTGTCACCAGTCTTATGTGGTAAGGAGACACCATTATTAATATTAGGCACTATTGTTAAAGCCACTGTTCACCTCTGTTGGACAGGAAGAATGAGATGCAGTTTCCATATGGCTAATGTGGTTTTTATATGCTATCCAGCATCAGACTGGACCTGCTAGTCATGTAATGATTGCAGAACACCAACCTGTGATACTGCTGCTCTTTGAATAGTAAACATTTTTTTATCAGTGAAATGAATAGAATCCACTTGAAAGTTAACCTTACAGATTGTGAAAGTTTTTACTTCAGTCAGAGAGGTATTTGCGCCAGTAATTTTACAATGTAAATGTTCCAGCCAGACTGCAAACACCACTTTCTCACTGGAAACATTAGACCTTGATAGCCTCTGAAAACAAGGGTTTGGGCCTCTAAAAGAAGGACTAAGCGCACTTGTTCATTCCTACATGGACTATTAAACTGCAGGCACTGACTCTGCAGTGTCTGACCACTCATCCTGGAGACAAGGGAGCAAAATGGAAGTTTGCTCTTAGAAGAGCACAGCTATGAATGGCCCAGGCTCATGTCTCAGGCATGTCCTTCCCATTGGACATTCAGCTCTGCTGGGTTATGCAACGCTGGCAGCCACAGGAGAAACACCCTCAACTGTTCAAGGAAAAGCTGCTTCTCAGAACAAGGTTATTTAAGCTGACAGAAGTACTCTTCCATCAGCATAATTAGATATACACAGAGGGGGTTGTTGGCATAGCTGTCATGATGGGAGAAAGACCTTTTTCTTCCCCACTGTTTTCACTGATATTGAGCTGTTAGCAAATTTCACTGTGAAGATGACAT